TAATGTTTTAAGGTCTTCAGGGGAAAAAAAAGAGTAAAAAATTGAAATTTCAAAAAGTACTACTGATATTTAATTGTGTAACTATGGGCAGGCCAAAAACAATTGTGTATGTGTAAAATGACCGATTTTAAATAGACAACAGCTAAGTTTCCTTCCACCAGGAATTCAGAAATTAGGGAATAAGAAATTTGAACTTCATGAACTTGTTTTCAAAGATGAGTATAATTGGGAGAAACGTTTAGACAAATACAAAATACATAACATCAGAATTAAATGAAGTAATTATACAAATAAAATATATATAAGACCAAGTCTATCTGTACTCTAAAGGGAAATCCTGAAAAGAAAAAAAAATCATAACAGACCCACTGAAAATGAGAAACCAGTCCCTTTTCTAGGATGCCGTGCCAAGAGAACACATCTCATCTCTTCCTGACATACCTCTGTCTTGCAACCAAGCAAAGGATTATAGAAAAAGACATAGAAAGCTGGGTGAATACACACTTTCAAAAAATACATACGTCACATCAAATATTATCTCTAATTCAAATGGTGACTAAAACAAAATGAAGACACTTAAGATTTGGTTCCCTGTAATGCTAAAGTAGGAATACATATCACATTTTCTATATCTCTTTAAAAGTTCATTTTCAGCTCTCATCAATTAACATGCTCTATAAAGAACTTTGTAAAAAATGTGGTATAGTATGCCAAAATAAACATGGATGTTACTCATAGTATGGCTCTTCACCCAAAAGATAAATTTTGGTCCCCCTGCCGCCCCACGGCCCGGCACCTTGTGAAGATGTATTTCATTAACACGTTAGCAATATTCATGCATAGATGCTGGCACAGGAGAAACTATAATTCCACCCATTTTCAGTATTGCTGGGTAAACCAGAAGTCTCTACATAAATGATTCCACAAGATACACTCCCAACATTCCCTAAAGCTATGTAGTCAGAATAGTGATGAAGATATTTCAAAGTTTCTTCTTCTTTTTAATAATATATACTTTATAATATGCACTATATAAAGTATATAACATATACAATGCAGTTAATATATGTATATGTTGTATGGGATATATAGCATACTTGTATGTTATATGAAATAGAACATATATGACATACATATGACATATTTTATATAAATATATAATCCCCCTATAATTATGCCATTCTAAAAAGAGGAATTTTCCTCATACATTGTTAGGAAAGTTACAATAAAAGTATTTTGCTTTTTTGTTTCTTAAAATAGCAATTTACCAACTATATTAAAATTAAAATATTATAGATTTAGTTTTGATAGTCTTATAAATAGACAACTACACTAAGATTTCTAGGAGCATAGTTGTAATTCTACCATATTTGTTTCTGATGAATGTATAGTATAAATGAAATTTTTGTTTTCCCAGGTTTGCAGGGAAACCAAGAATGCAGGTATTGCTCCCCAAATATTTAATGTGCCACCTGGTACCTCTTCTAATTCACAAGTCATGAGCCTAAGGTTCCATGGTAAACTGAACCTAAATATATGTTTGTAAAATCGTTTTTCATTACGGGTGAACATTTGGAAATTTCCTAAATTTGACACCATTTAAGTACTACCACCTAAATGAAAAATAACAACAGGATGTTACTGCCCAGAGGTCATTAAGACAAAAGAGGAGTTCCAGGTTCTTATTCTCCCAAGGCAGTTTAGGGTAGTAACTAGAGGTTACACTGCAGAAAAGAAGGAGGCCAGGAGTAAAAGGGTCATCAGGGCCCAGTGCAGGTCAACAAGTATGCTCAGAAAGAAAGGACTGAATGGAGGAAGAAATATACAGGGCCACCCAATTTAAACATTGTTTTAAAAAAACCTTTCTGACATTCTTTCATTGATTTTTAAAATTGTGCTCTTGATGTTTCATACTTTAATTCATAGGAAATGGGTAGGCTTCAAATTATATTTTAAAGCATTCACTTTACTAGCAAATTAAATAATTACTTATGTAACGAGCATGGTTAAAATATGGAATAATGATATACTTGCTATTTCAAGGAGCACAAAAATGATTAGATGAATACACAATAGACCCACTCATTTCTTCAGACCGAAAAACCAACTGAATATTGTCTAAAATGACCTGAGAGGTAGCAGATAATTCTGCCAGTCCTGAATTACAAAATTCTTGGCTCTTCCTTTTCATGTAGATAATGTTTGCATGAGCTGGAACTTTCAAAAACCATTGTCTAGGATTGCATTTTCACTTCTATTATCATGAATTGATGAATATTAGCTCCATTAAAAATAACAGCCACATAAAAAGAGTTCATTGACTGTAATGGGAAATTCCTGATCATCTATCAGACACAGATTGATTTAGCTGCAACTACTGAGTATTTTCCAAAAAGTTTGTATCTTACACTTCATCGTATAAGACTACAGTGTAAAAAATAAATTCAAGCAATGGCTTTTGTTAATACTTTCTATTCTTAAATGAAGCTATTGAGTCACAATGCAACCAAAGTGAAGACACCAAAAAGGCAGGATTTTTTTTTAAATCTATTTTTTCAGAAAAGTATAATACTTTTAATATATTTTGATGAGAAACAGAAGACATTTTTTGAGAAAACTTGGCTACATTATAAAGCATATGCTTTGTTAAATGTTTGTATATATTCTCCAATAAATGGGTTGTATCTTGATTGCAACATTTCTACATCTTTAAAGCATGACTGCTATATTACACCAGGATCATTAATTACCTTAATTTCCTGAAAATTACAATTTTCATCTACAGTGGAACTTAAGTCTTAGAAGTAACTCCCATTTTACTTCCAAGTTCTGAGAAAGTGTGTGTATTTAATTTTTCTTACATACTAACATTCCGAACACGTGAACTAAAAGCATTTCATAGATTTTACTCAGGTATTGTGATTTGGTTTCTTAACTCATTTCAAAAAATAGATGCTTCTAAGCATTTTATTTATATAATATAAATTATCATCAGTGGTTAACAATTCCTCATCTTTTCCTGAAAACAAAAATAGATTTCATAATAAAATAAAAATTTGAAAGTCATTTCAGAAAACAAGTTTTAAAATATACTAACTTCTCAAGTCTAGAATAGAAATTTCTAGCCAGATGAAATTAGCATCTCATCAACATTCATTATAATAATGCTTAAATTCAATCAGAGGGCATATAGTATTAAAATGACTTACTGATACTTCATGAAAAACACTGTCACAGACACCTAATTTTTAAAAATATCTTTCCTTTTAATCCTTCTTCCTTCATTTCCTCTTAACATAGAGTCCTCTGTTTTATTCATAGGTACTTCTAATTTGAAGTCCTGATAGTGATTTATACTATCCAACTGTCCTTAATAAAGACTTCAAATGACATAAAGACAACAAGACACAAACCTCTTGGTTACAACTAAGCACCTGCACTGCTAAGGTATTCTGCATCTTCTTCAAAATGTGTCACAAAATTACCAACAGGATAAAAGGGAAATATAAGCAGTAGGTTATAGAATTTTCACTGATTCATTTTTGAAAATTCACTAGTAGGCCTTCAAAAATATGTGAGACTAAATCAAAATCATAAGTCATTATATTTTACTTTAACATAATTTCTTGACTTAGCCCCAAATTCTTCACATATAAAATATTCCATTAGTTAGCCATAGGACAACATGAGAATTCTGTTCAACACAATATGTCTAATAAAATTAAGTTGACTTTAACCACATTGTCATTTAAAGAAGGCAATTAAATTAGGCTGAAACACAAAATTTAAAAAGCAGCCTTGGGAATAACTTTTTCTCTTACAGCCATTACCAAATCCTATTGAACTGATTAACCATGCAAGAAAAGCAGCATAAAGCTGAAGAAAGGGCACTAACATCACTACATGGCTTATCCAAGAACTCATAAAAGTAAAAGGCTCTTACCATTTTATTTTACTATATACTCTAATATATAAATGCTGCTACTTTTCTGCAGTTTAACATTATTAGTAATGTCGTATCTTTCTTCAATCATCTAAAAATATTAATTCTAGCTTAAATTTTATTTTAAAGAACAATATTAATTCAGAATATGTCCCTTTGGTGGCAAAACACGATTACCACCAAATAAAATAATGAAGAAAAGAATTCTAAAAGGAAATTGGGGCCCAAAATTCTCTAATGCAACCAGCCCTTGGTGACCATCAATCTCATCAGATACTGCTCTGCCCTCTATGTGTATTTAATGAATATGGGCCCATTGCCTGATGGGATCTATGTTTCTTAAAAAAAGTGTGGTAAGAGTCATTTGCTTCTTTATTTGAAACTATGAATGTAGAAACTTAAATATGTTGCAAATATCATTCCACTGCATTTTGTAGAGTTGATCAGTTTCAGCCCTGATATTCTAAAACACTGCATAACTTATCAGCCAAAATGAAAATGCATATATATGAATATGTGCATACATATTACAAAATCCTTTGATAATATCTATAATCTATGTCTTAAAATGCTGTAAAATGAGAATTATGGTTCTTAAAGGGAAAACGCATGCCAGAAGTATTCACATGAAAATAATACTTCAAATATACATGGAAACTTTTCAGTTCAATACACTGAAGCACTTTCTAGGCATTTCAATATACAGTGTGTATTTTCATACCTTTACTTGGACACAAATTTTGTGTTTTTCATTGTCATTCTATTTTTATGTCTTCATACATATAATATTGATGATCTTTATATTCAGAAATTCCTAAATTTCTTTCTGTATCACTTTCAGGCATCAATACTCAACACTGGCCAGCAACTTCCTAAATACTTCAATCACTATATCATACTTATAGATCAAAAGAGTTCTTCAAAACCATTTAGATAATATTTTCCGGAACCCATTTAAGAAAGAGAAAGATTATTTGCTCTTAATAAGTATATAACTTAAATGGGTGCACAACCACCACATACATATTCCACCTCCATCCCATTTCCCTTGATGGCACCTACCCTAGTGTTGTCATGGTGACGATGGTGTACCAGAAGGCAGCAGGGATGCTGGTGAACTTGCTAGCGGAAGACCCCTTCTCTGCGTAGAACATAACCGTAGCGAAGATGATGATAGCCATGGTGAGCGAGAAGAGCAAGAAGCCCAATTCAGAGGCACAACTCTTCAGTGTGTACCCCAGGATGCGCAGGCCTTGAGAGTGGCGGGAAAACTTAAAGATCCGGAAGACCCGGAAGACGCGGAGTGTGACAAAGGCTCCACTGACATCCTCATTGTCTGTCATCACCAGCCCAATGTAATAAGGCAGGATGGCCACCACATCGATGATACTCATGACGCTACGCACAAAACGGTAACGACTAGGAGCTGCTGCCAGGCGAAGCAAGTACTCAACGGTGAAGATCATGACACAGGCTGTATCCAAGCAAAAGAAGGCCACGGCGTACCGCTCCCCACAGGGCAGTTCTTTAATGTGACCTGGGCTAGACCCACAGGGCACTGTTTCTACCACATTAGCGATGACTGAGACGGCAATGAAGAAGCCGGTAACATAGTAGAACACCAGGGCCATTGTGCTGGTGTGAGGGTTCTCAAAAGCCCGCCAGACCCTCTGCCGAGCCGTCATAGTGGGCAGCGCGCTCTCTCCGGTGTTGTCGGTATCAACATCGTCCTGAAGACGCTCCGCGTTCTCTCGCCGGCGATCCTTGTACTCCTCGTAACAGCAGTCGCCAATAATTTCTGGGATGAGGCCAAAGAAGGCTAATTCTTCATCATAAGCGGAGATGCACTCATGGCGAGGGTAGTGGAGTTTCCCAGTGCGGTAGAAATTCAGGATGTGGCGGAAGATGTCTGGGTCACGGTCAAAAAAATACTGTTGAGTCTCTGGATGGTAGAAAAAGTCCCTCTCCGAACTGCCCAGCAGAGTGTCTGGGTACCGTTCCAGGGTGTCCTGCCATGTCTGGAAACGAGTGCCACTCACATTCAGCACAATTAGAGCATCCTGAGTCCTTTTCCTCTCCTGCCTTGGGGGAGCTGGCATGGGCCCCGAGGCCACAGGCATCCACCCAATGGCCGCTGCCCTTGCAAAGGGCAGCCACGCTGCTACCCCCGCCGCCATGGTTCCTTCAAGTGCAGGCCAGAAGGGCAATCAAATCTCTACAATGGGTCACTTAAAGTAGCCACAATCACCCACTTCCTCCCGTCAAACAAATGCTACTGAGAAATGTGGTCCAGAGGTATCAGCCTTATTCCAAGGCAGAGCTCCTGGTGAAGTCACAGTTCTCAGAAGGGCAAGTTTCCCTCAAAGATAGGTATTTGGAGTAACGGGGGGAAAATACAATGTCCTAACAATCACACCCAACAAAACCTAATCAAACCTCTTGCTGCAGTAGAACCAGGCGAGCCCCGGCACAAATAAGTACACAGGTGACTTTAGATGCCGCAATTTCTTGAAACAGGTGTCTTTGATTTCTCCCTTAACACAGTCTGGACTGTGTGTCGTG